AGATGTATCCCTAATATTTAAGGGAGTCAAAAACTGGTTAATATTTCTCATTTTTATTTTGGCTTAATCTTCAAAAAAGGTAAAGTGCGCAGATATTCGACGCCGAAATATCTAGTAAAGCCTTTATTCAAGAGATAACTTGTTACAGATAGATTTTTCATTAATCATAGGCATATTGATTCGCGACTTTTGTAGTGGACGTTCATTTTTTTCGGCAGTGAGTTGACATGTTTAGGTGCTTCTAAAACAAAGACCCAAACAGACAGCTGCATAAGAAACAATGTTTAAAAGCTCGTTATTTGGGTAAAGGCTTTTAAGAAATATCTTATTTTGAAGGTGTTGGTATGTACGTAGAATATAATTCTCACTTATGACCAATCGACTGAAGCCAGTGTTAACCTTGATTTCAAGAACGATCTGAATCTCATCGCAATCGAAATCCCTTAGTAATTACAAGGGAATGTGGCGGAAGGAAAGTTCTCTCAGTGTACACAAAATGGTAAATTTATGATTGCACCTGACAATTCCACTGAAATGTATTAGTCACTCATCGGTATGTGCGTACGTGAGCTTACGAAATGTCTTACTCCTGTGACCTCTAAATCGGCAAAATGAAGCGAAAGTCTGCTTGCCTTAGTCCAACGTAACTCGAGCAATATATAAACGGAAGACACAACTAGCAATTCTTGTGAAACAATATTGGAATACATAATCGAACTTTGGGCTGTTCTGTAATAGCTATACGTTACAGTGCATGTAATATGGAATTATATGTATCCGAAAATTTTACAAACCGATTATTTTCCAACGTAATTTTACTTGTATTGCCTTATTTACTCGATTTTATTTGCATGAACAGGCTTCCTCCAAATTTAAAACTTAAGTTTACCAAGTAGATCCGATTTCCATTTTTTCATAGTTTTCCACTTTTCTAAAAGAGCTGGTTTTTCGAAACAACGTAATCTTACTTGATAAATCGCAATATGTCCTATTTTGAATAACGGCCACTATTTGACTGCTGTAAGATTTTGGGAGAAGCAACGTGATTTTCTTGTAAAAATCCTTGGATTTCATGAGTTAGCCCACCTACTGTATAGTTACAAGGCGATTTCTTTGCGACATCTCTGATTCGTGTGAAAGTCACTACTGTCGCAGCTCACATGCATGACGAAATAATGGTACTCCGTGACCGCATACGTTGGCAATTGACTGGCTTGCGCTGAGGCTGGCGGTGCTTACAGGACCGACTGAGTATTGTGTTTCAATCATGTTGTGGCGAGTACCTGCAGATATGTATAACGTCATTCAGCACGGCTGATTTAGCCAGTGGCAAGCAGTTGCACTCACCGTATCGCATTTAATCGCCCACACAGCTGCTGTCAGTCAGAGGCAGACGCCAGAACTTAGCCAGGTTTAAACGAGATGATTTCACTGTCCAGTTGATTCAGCATGTGACGAAGCCGCCAGTCGAAGAGTGAGAACGCAGTCAACCGGTTCTGTTCTTACAGTTGCTGCTTAAAAAATATAATCCGACGAGCAAGTGCATCATCAACTGAAAACATCCTGACGGATGTCTTCATGGCTATTCTATAAAAATAAAATCTGCTTTTCCGAAGCAAAACTGGCATTTTTGAAGTCCTCGAGGACTGGACATCAATAGAATTAAGAGATTTTAATTTCCTTTCGATATCGGACAAATACATTAGAGCATGGCTTCTAAGCAACACTAGAAAGCGCCTAAGATAAAAAAATTAATTTATCGGAAAAAAGTTTTGTGTCTACACGTAAACAACTTATATTTGTTGTTGACAATATTTTCGTGAACCGCTTAAAAGATATTAAAATTTACGGCAGAAACATGTGAGGAAACTGTACTATTATGGCGATAGTCGCAATTATTATGATGATGTACCTGTTGACTGTTGAGGCAACTCCAAGGCTCATATTCAAATTTCCTGTCAGGTTTGCCGTCACTGACCCTAAAGAGACCCAGGCCGATGCTGCAATCGGTGCACAGTACGGCTGCCTCTTCGGGACAGGGCAGAGGCACTAGTGGACGATCCCAATGTCTATGCTGGCCACGCGCTGTCGGGACCCGACCACAGGCCCGAATGGCTGACAGCAAGGTTTCCAGTGGCTGCCAGAAACAAGAGTCAAGGTAGGAAATGAGCTGGGCGGCACGCACCGCGTTTTCGGTGGGGCGAGTGGTAGGTAGAACACTGGCAATATCGTTACGCTTCTCAAAACACCAAGCGGGGGCGAAAAGAGCCAAGGAGAGGGGCCTGTCCGGATAGGATTGCTAAGGATAAAATGAGGTTTGGGAGGGGATAGAAGCCGAGAGGAAAATTATACAGCTCTAAGACGCTAGCTCTTACAAATATGTTAACCTCCCAAATGCTTAGGTAACGTTAGACAAGCTCCTTATTAGAGAGGAGAACTGTAAAGTAAAACAGAAAGCACAGACCGCAACATGCTAGACAAAATAATGGAGCACCACTGACTCGTTTGGATTTCAGAGGACCTTATTCAACGATAAGGATGAACAAGAGTTTACCAGAGCCAGGTAGGGCAATTGTTCTAATTGCAACGAACTGAACAACCACAAAGAGTGGTCTACTTATGAATGGCACAGTGGAAGTTATTACCATTTTCCAATCAGACAAGAGTACAGTGGTTCAAAATTGAGAGCGGGGTTTCTGGATATCCCGTAGTATTGAGGAAATGGTAGGGTTAGCAAAGACAGAAAACACGTGACCGCGTCTACTGAATATGGAATGCCGGTTAATTCACGTTGGAGAAGACGCTTTATACTAACAGAGAGATTATTAAGGTAACTTTACTAGTTGTCTCCATAGTAGAGCCGATACTTTTTTCACCGCATGCGACAAGGACCACTACTGTGTCGGGAGCGCTGTGGGTATCTACACATAAAATGTGACGGTTGGCCCACCACGAACAAGGATGCCTACTATATGCTCCGTAACAAAGCGGGGGCAGGGACGGTAAGTTCTTAAGTGTGTATCGCACTGCCCCCTCTCTTACTTAACTTTGTCTAATGTAAAGACAAAGTCACGAAGACCAGGAGTGAGATCGGGCGCCGTAACCGACAGAGCTAAACAGAACGTCTGTGTGTGTGTGTGCCACACGTGCCTGGTCCGAGCAAGATGAGCCTGCTTTTAGGAGGAACGAGAAGTGGTCAGCTTGGGTTAAATCCGAGCCACAATACCATAGGCATCATGTCAAAGAATCATTGCAATCTGAATTTTCGTCCTGCGAGGACCGAGTATTCCGCCAGCTGATAGCCTACAAGTCACGTCTTTTGGCGCATCGTGATAAGTTAACAGCAAGCCAGATTTCCTACGGGAAGAGTGCGCTGAATTGCTGTGGAAACGCTGTCCCTACAGTCGACTTCGCTCTCCCATCCATTAGTACACTGGTCCAGCCGGTCGGCCAGTTGATGCTAGGACGAGGCACCCATGGTTAGCGCACTGCGAGCATGTGCCTAGGTGTACCTTTATTTGGTTTGCAGTCCGAATAACGCCGCATGTTGGGGTGGGTTCAGCGCATTTTCCGCGTGACCCACACTACGGGCACACATGAAATATAATGAGAGGAACTTGCGCAACATCGGCCTCTCCCACACGCGTTCCACTGTAGTTCCACTGCCATTTCCGAATTACACATTCATGAACTTGGTCCCAATTAATGTTAACTCGCAACTCTATGGGCTTACCGAGACCGTAAGTCAAAATCAGTGCTGGGCTCCACCGAGAGAGAAAATATCAATCAAAAACATTGGACACATTACTGACAGTTGTAGAACAAAGATAAAATTCTAATCAACTTTTGGAATTTGGTAGATTTAAAACCCACATAGTTCGGATAAGCAGCTGCACAGAAATTGGACATAACAAGGACTTAAAATACACAAAAGGTATTATATTAATCAACAGTGCGTAAATAACGGTGATAACAATGGTTATGACTGTGATGCCTATCATATAGTCGAACTATTTATTCTTTCTAAGACGAAGGATAGAACGATAAAGATGAGGTCGAAGTGCACGTCCAGAATGAAAAAAGGTATTTAAAAGAGTGGCTATAGATGACTAAGAATCAAATCTTTACAGGCAAGTTAAAGTATATATTAATAAGGAGCTGAGGGCTTCTTTGTCGAGTGCTTACGGACGCACGCAGAATCAACTTGAGAGCTTCACTGGTATTAAAACCGCCTCCGCCCGGACAGCCACGTCCAAAACAGTCAACACCGACGAAAATTCGTTTGGACCAATGCGAACTCCCAGCACTTAAAAGAAATGGGTCACTCAAAACAAAATGTATAAGATCGTGTCAATCAACAATTGATACGCTTTCGTTAGGACAATTTGGACAAGAATTCTGGAGAAAACTGGTAAAATCTGAAATTGTGCGATTGACCTAGCAAAAATAATGAATTGCATAGAAGAATTAAGGTCAAGGGGAAAATAAACAGAGAAATGAGAAGCTTCAACATACGTCTCTTGAGAAAGTCGTAGCAAGTCTAGGTTCCAGTTATAGTTTAGGAAAATGCCATCTTCGGCGGCACGAGCGAAATCAGCATTCTCGGCATTGAGGGCGTTCTGCCACTTCAATTCGCCCTTTCGGGTAACAGCATCGTACCTGATTTCGGATAGAAAGAGTTAAAAAAAACCGCAAGTCCTTCTCCTAGAGACACACGGAAAGGCGTTTGCTTATATGAGGCTAAATAAGGAGATGATGATGATGATGATGATGATGGTGGTGGTGGTGGTGGTGGTGGTGTTGTTGTTGTTGGTGGTGGTG